GGGAGAGGGGCCGAAGACACCGCGAGAAAGAGAGAATAATGCGTTAAAGCAGCAAGCAGCAACTACTCTAATTGGCCACTTTGTCCATTTATTCGATTTATTTAAATTATGGGACAATTGACAGTAGGCATTCTATTTTTTAAATCTCCCCGGCCAACCGGTTGATTGGGCGAGATTGGCGTGAGACACTGGCCCCACAGATTCCCCAGTTGTGGGCTTAATCAGCTTTGATTGCTGCCCTCTCTCTCTCTTTCCCTCTTTCTCCTTCTGCGCCGCCGCTCTCCCTCGCTCTTTCCTTCTTTCTCTTCTGGCCATCTGTCGCACCGTCTCTGTCCCGCCGACTCATATTCTTTCTCCCTCTCCCCTTTTTTTCCTTTCTCGTTGCGGGGCGAGTAGTACAACGACGAACCCGAGCGAACAACGCACAATTTTATTTTATTCGGTTTGAACCGCGGATCTCGCGACGAGCTTAATATCGTCCGGGAGCGCGAGAGACGTTGATTGGCCGATCCGAAATTGTGGGAATGTGTCTCTGGATAACAGAGACACCGAGCGAGGCCGCCCACTCTTCTCTTTCTCTCTCTCTCTGTCTCTCCCTCACACATACACACACCCCTCCCCCTTCTTCGGCCCTCCTTTGTCAAACGATTACCATAATTTCCGCTGTCAGTTCTGATTCGTTTCTTCGTTTTCAACTGAAAACCTCGTCGTCGAGCGCGCGACTCGACGCCCGAGTGCAGACATCGAACCGTGTGAGCATAAGCGAAAGAGAAATAGGCGACAAGGAATCCGCGCATTGCTAATAAAACGAAGGAATCAACGAGACACAACGCAATAGGTAGACAGACGTTGAAGCTGGCGTATTTATAAACGAGTATCGACGGGATTACGTAACGTCTCGATCCTATCCCCGCGATGTCCTATAATTAATGAAATTCTCATCGAGTCACTGACTTCTCGATTCTATAGCCAATCGATCGTGGTGCTTCGTGGCCGATCTAAAATTAACTCGTGTCGTTAGAACGTCACTGGGACCTCTTTTGCTAGGGACTTTTTCGTCTCGTTGCATGCAGCTCGTTTAGGAATCTCTTTGCTCCAACATCTGACGTAACCTTTCTTCTAGAAACATTCTTATTCATCGAGGAATAGCCTAACTATATATCCTAGATAATCGCGACAATACATCACACCATTAGTCTTCCTCTAAATCTAAAATTCTGATTAAAAATCGACAAAATTGCCGTGATATCCTCATTTCATCTATCATCAATATAATCAAACTTAGAGATAAATTTAAACAATTACGAAATTTGTAAAATCCTCATCATCCAAGAATAACCTAACTGTACATCGTAAGTAAACGCGGCACGATCTATCATATCGTTTAACGAAAATCTTTAACGATAAAAGGGCGATAAAATGCCTCGTTGAGAATCGATAGAATTTTTCTAAAATCCTCATCATCCCTATTGTCAATGACTATAGCGATGTTTCTTCATCGATATGTGACATAATTTTACTGAATGGAGTATATTGGGGTGGTGGGTGTGTATGGGGGACCTGCATGAATCCGTTTCCACGCACGGTCTTCCTCTCTTTCCCGATCGTCCGCGGCCACGCAAACCCCCTTCAGCCCCCTCGTGGGACCCACTTGCGCTCATCCCATTTCCTTGATAATTCCCATAATGCTGTGGGCGGATATTCCAATAAAGGGGGAAGAGCCCCAGGCCACAAAACGCTGAAAGCATGGGACACGACTCGTTTCGTCAGGTTGCACACGATTTACGAGCCTGCACCGATTCAATCGAATAAATAGAAGGCGAGACGCGTGTGCGTCCTTCGTTTCCAGACGAGATTCACGGACCGGTCACGTGGCCGTGGGAATTGACAATTGGTCCAGGGATACGGGACCATCGTGTCCAAGACGATTTGAACGATTTCGGGAAAACACAATGTGCTCCAAAATCTTCGAAATCGTGATTCGGAACAAAGTAGGAAACGAACTTCTGATACAGTTTCTATGATCGAAGAGCTCATGACAAGAACAACCCTTGTACATGTTTGTCTTCATCCAGGAGAGCAAAAGAATTTCTCTTGAATATATTTTAAAGGGAAAATTTTTGTTAATAATTTCCAATGTATCTGTAATTGTATCTAATTATAACAAAGAAGTGAAGTTGTCAATCTCGTAATGTCAATTCTACCATGTTGAATTCTAGCTTCTAATTACTAGAATACATTGTTTTCAAAGAAGTCGAAAGATCCGACGAGAGTAGTTCTTGTCATGAACTGTCCAATTTTGTACAAGAAACTTCAAATCACAGACTCGGATACCCTTTGATTATTCGGTGTCGAAATTATGAACCACCTGTTGAGTCTGACTCATCCCTCTAACGAAGTAAATGCAAACGTACTATTGGAAAAACGATTGAAGCTTTCAAAACCGCGAACGAATGAGCATGACCTTCGGTGTAACAAGAGATTTTTATCGAAATAATTGAAAAGAAATAGAGCAGATGGATGGATTTAAACAAAATACGCGATTTCCCAGTATAAATAAACGAACATTTTCATCGAATGTATGGCAACAGGATTTTATCGCAACAATTAAAAAACAGAGCAAACAGGCTGATTTAAACAAGTATGCGGACATTCGAGCGTAAATGAATTAAGACTTTCATCTTAGGTGCGATAACAGGTTTCTGGTTCTGGAATAATTAAAAAGGAATGGGACAAATAGGCTGGTTTCAAGCACAGATCGTTGTCGATTTCAACGTGCACCGCTCGCGACCCCTTGCCTGCCCTCCGCCCACCCCCGCGTCGCCGACCGACCGATATCTTTTCCTTTTGTTTTCCCCGTTGCACCTTTCTTTTTCTGTATCCCTCCCTTCCTGTCTGCTTGCCGGTTGGCGCAGGGTCGTCGAACGGCGGAGACTCGATTTGAATCTAATTACGATCCCGATAATTCCGTAAGGAGGCGGAAATAGTAACTCACCGGAAACCTTCGGGTCAGCTGCCTCCACCTTCATCGCCGCCAGGCTCGCTATTGTCGGCGGTACCTAAAAGAAAATACATTACGATGTACAATGCACCAGCATGCTCAGGGCCGTGCTCGCGATGGGGACGAAAGGGGGGAGTCGCCCACGCAACACGAATGGGGGAGAGACGGAGCGCGCCTCTATGAATCCGCGACACGTGTCGTTAAAAAGTTGAATGCCTCCAAATTATCCGGGGCACGAGATCTTTTGGGAAAACCTGGTTACCCTAACTAGGAGGCTGCGACTTTCTACGTGTCGATCTGCAGGGTGTCCTAGGGTATAAGTAAGGAGGGCAGTTTTTATTTCTCACAGGATGTAACCTAACGGCAAAATTAGGTAAAGGACGATCCATTATGATCGTGCATCAAAGGATATTATGACACACTTGTGTTGGTTATAATTTTACGAAATTGGTTTGCGATTTAAGAAACTTCTTATCTGACTCATATGAGTCGAAGAGGAAAAGTTCTAAGCACGGTAGGTTATGAAAGCATTCGAACACTTGCAAAAATGTTTTATGAATATATTATGACATATATTATGTGCGTCATACGGAACACTTTGAAATTTTATTAGCACTATAATGACACCCGACTATCAAAATTATATTGGTAAATGTATATATATTTAGTTACCCACACATAAAATAGTGAAATTCGAGACGATATTAGTATTGAGATAGGAGCATTAATTCTTTGTATTTCGTATTTTCATTATAATTTCTTAGCGAAATTGTAAATGACCATTTATTATTTAGCACTTTATGGTCATTTTCAATGAACATCTTTTGATTATAGCCATAGAACGCAATGATAAATTTTGCCTGTTAAACGATAGGGCATCCTGCCCTAAATAAAGGATGCTCTTTGAGAGGCTTTTTTCCTTTTATAAGACCGGTACACTTTGGTGTAATAAAATAAATCTTTGAATTGCTCTAAATTGAGCTCCGTGTGGACCATTCGTCTCCCCTTCTTCTTCGTAGCGGAACTTTCATTTGTCTAGAATATCTTCAATTAAAGATGGTTTCGTGTGTACGATAGGTACTGTGAGAAATTCCAGGAATTAACCTTTAGTCGGCGATTTTTCGCGATGACAGAAATTGCGCCTTTATCGTTACGACATCCTCTCTTCGAGACGTTATGCGAAACGGAAACGGCTTCCGGTTCCCCAAAAACTTTCAAGTACGAGGTATAGGGTCGTCGACCTTCGAAATGCAATGTGCAAATGTGTGTCAAGAACAACTGCAGGAAAATGCGTTTCAAACCACGTTTTCGATTAAGATTTCTGATTTCGGAGAACAAATTCATTTTATCAGTGATGTTTTCCTTCACATCTATCACAATTCTTCTGTTAAGTTTACGGACTAATCCTTTGACAATTTCCTATATTTCCGTGTATCAGATTTAATAAATACGTAAAATTTCAATTTTTTATAGGAAATAGAAATAAATAATTGAACTTACGTATGATGAAATTTAAACCTTTATATCATTTTTTACTTTTATTACTGTTTTTGTTGCATATATTTTCGTTTTATGTATTTGTCGTATATCCTAGAAATTTCCAAATAACACACACATACACGTTAAATCTCAAAAGCTTGAGACTGAGGCAGAAAAATTCGAAGAGAAAATATCGTCAGAGGATAAAAGATTAAATTTATAATGCTATATTCGTCTGTTTGGTCAAGTCTCTCTCGAACTACGTTACAAAAGATTTGAACGTGGGACAAACGAAGGAAGAGAAAAAAATCAGAATATCGACGGTGTGATGCTCGAAAGGGACGCCAGTTGTCCGGAAGCCCCATCGCGGTGCAAATTATTCGAATCCTGTACGATTTCCGAAGCCGTATCTGCGATGCCGATCCGTGGCGTCGTTGAATTTATAAAGCGATTGCCACATCGTGTGTTCATCGTGTTTGTCTTGCGTGTCTTCTTTTCCTCCCATTTCCATTTTCAGCCAAAGGGGTCGATTTTCTTTTCTGTTTCTGCTTTCCCGCGGAGAGAACGCGGCTCACGTGCACGGCAATCGCGTTCCACCGATCCCGTGGCCAACGATCCACCATTTATATTCTATGCTCATAATTATCGTCGACCTTCGATGCCCAATATTACGGATCGCTGTGCGGATCGCATGGCAATGCGCAACAAAGAATGTTTCGCGGCCATTTTCACGGGAAATCGATCGATAAGTCGACAAATTCAGGGAAGAGCGCGGAAATTCCAAGATTCTAAGCTTGTTGACGATTTTTCAACGCGCACAGAGTGAATACTTTATCGCGGATGACGCGATGCACAGTATGTTTCGTAACCGTTTCTATGAAAAATCGATTGATGCTCTAGATTGTATTGGGAAGAACATTTATTCGATTCTAGATCTTTCGATGAGTTTTAAACTCACAGACAATCCATATGTATCCGAATTATTTTTTTTTTTTTTTAGTAATTCTAAGAAGAGAAAATCGATGGATGAGTGAACAAATTCGAAAAGAAGCGAGTAAATTTTAATATCGCGAACATTCCGACGATTTATCGAAACGCAGAAAGCGAACACGAGTATTTCAATTTTGATTTATATGTTCGTCGTGGACAGTTTAATGACTAAAACGGGGAATAGTTAATTAAGGTTTCGAGACCTTCTGCAGATTCTACCGAGTAGTTGCGTTCTATCCTTGGGTGATTCACGTCGCCAGAATGCCGCGCAAACGTGACAGAATTTGACTGGTAGACGGAATCACGGATAGCATGAGAATTTTTGTCGTATGAGACACTCGGCTAATCCGTGTCATAAAGCGTGTCCCCCCGGTTGCTTCTTTCCTTTAATGGCCAGCGATAATGTTTGAAAAGAATATTCAGGAGAGAAGACAACATATGTATGTAAGATAACCGGAAGAAGCGTGCGACCACCACAAAGGGGAAAGAAACCAGCGAAAAGGAACCAGCCCCCTTTCCAGACATCGAAAAGTCAGTACGTGCGCCACAAAGCAGATTTCGATTGCAGAGTGGCCCACCATAGGGGTTTCATAGGGAGTCCCACAGGAGGTACCATGCGAAACTCGATGTATAAGGAAGAAAGGCAAGAGAAGAAAAGGAGGACGAGGAAGAGAGCCAGAGGAAGGAAGCAACGATCGTAGAAACAAATAGAAAATACTATACAACAGTTACGTGTATACGTATATGTATGTGCATGTTGGTTAAGAAGACGACAACGACGACAAGAGAGGAGGAAGAAGAAGATCGGCCACGAAAAGAATGAGCGAAGAATCGAGCAAGAGAAAGAGGAGAGGGTAAAAGAAGAGCGTTCCAGAGTTAGAGGGAGAGAGAAAAGAGAGAGAAGAATACGGAGGGTAGGAGGAGCGCATGGGGGGAGGGCGAAGAGGGAACCGGGAGAGTATAGAGGTATATGAGAAAACAATAGAGCTGATTTGCAAACAATAGAATAACGTTAAGAGTCGAGTATTATACGCCGTTGTTACTTCTTGTGCCATAACGCCGGAGAGCATATGCCCATTAATATTCAAAGGCGAAAATAATGTAAACGACACGACAAAAATCGGGGGAATAATTTCAATTCTCCCCGTATGGGATTCCATCGTGGCGATACACCGAGCCTCCCGGGCCATTTCGTGTCTCTTCTTTGGCCACGTACACATGTATATTTAGCTCGACTTGCACACCGCCGCCCGGTACACAGCGAGACCGATGCAAACGCCGACCTATCGTTTCCCGTGAATTTCCCTCCATTCGAACAGTCATCGCCATAAACAGAGGTTTTCTCGCGAATCGTTTGAATGGGGTGGTTGCACGAGCGGTTTACATTCTATATTTAGAATCCCTGGTCATCAGTTACATAGGAATTTGCACCACTACATTTTCCACGTTTCCCAATCTTTTTAGTAAAATCGTTCAATTTATTGTTATCGTGCGTTCCTATTTCTTAAGATTATAGGAATATACGTCGCTTTCGTGTCTGATAAATTTCGATTTTTATTTAGCATTATTAGATTTTAGAACAATTGCAGATTTCTTCTTAAGAGAATAAATTGTATAAAAAGGCTGAAATTGAGAATTGTTTTATCTATCAACATATTGTGGTATCGTATCGTATTATACGTTGAGTAACTTTTAGTAATTCTTCGATTCCTCCCAAGAAAAATCGATAAAATCCTGACGTAACATATTCGTTTAGAGCTTCGCGGTTCTCTATTGGGTTCAACTTTGTACCCTTTATGGCATTCTGTAATGATCAAACTACAAAAAAATTTATCCGCGCTAAGTGTAGATAGCGTAGAGTAATAATTTTCAATTATTCTCTTCTATTCTATCCAATTTGGTTTCCGTTCTGTGTTTCTTTAAATATTGGAGCTGCTTCCTTATTGCAGCGAACCCTACAATTCTATCTACAACATCTGCGTTATTCGTATAATTTTTATCACAGGACAAAATACTAGGCTCCTTATTGTTAGGCTATTCAAGGTGTGGTGCGAATCTTGATTTACTCGCAAATACTATATGATACTATATGCATGAAGATTCCTCGTGATATTCACGAGGTTGTTCCAAGTTACTGGAATAACCCGTGTATGAAACTTGTATATCGAATGTAGGGTGTGTCGAAGGATGGCGTAGAATGTTAATTGTTCTTTTAGAAAGTTAATTCCCCGACGCCTGACGTAATGTTTCTCACCCAAACCGAACCATCGGCGATTTTTTCTCTTTTCTTGCCTGGCGATTTGAACAATCCTACTTCAGACGTTTTATTAGTCATTGTGAAAATGCAATCACATTAAAACCAAGTTTCTTTCCGTTCGAGTCGGTCGTCCATCATTTTTCGAAGCGATTTCAAAGCGAACTCAATTTCGAGACGATTGTTAGCGGCCTACACGCGATAAGATAAACCGAAGAATCTGTCCAAATTTTATGGTGACCGGGCTTTTTATCGTTGGATAAAATCGAATTGCTTGTCCTTTTTTCCTGCCCCTCGATACGATTCTGTACGCGTGCGCAGTGCGAATCGAGGGGAAAGGAATCATTGTTCTCTCGATTATTTCATGGGAACACGTCTGAACGAATTAAGGTCAAGAATCAGGGACTCTCGGAGATTACGGCAATGCATATCGAGGGACAAATTATGATTAGTTGGTTCGTGGTTCCAGGAACCCCTGAATTATTCTAGCGTAGCTACGCGTTTCCCGCTGGAATGCCACAGACTTTTACGAGTCTGTCGACGAGTCATCATTGAGCCATCAAAGAGACACGATGATTCACTGCCCATCGTCGCTAGAACCTTCTATTATTTTTCGTCGATAATATTTTCCAATTATTTTTAGGCGAACTACGATGTTTTACCCGCTCGGAGAATGTTATTTTAAAACGACGAAGGTACAGTAGTGCGCAAAAATTGTTGGCTATTTACTGCTGCTCTTCTTAATTAAAATATTCCATCTAGCACCTAGTGTTTCGTTTGTCGGAAAGTAAATCGATCAACTTTATTTTTTAATGGTTTCTCAGTCTTATTACATATCTACACGATTAACGTACGAGTTTCAAGAAACGAATGACTAATACAAGTTCATGGCCATTTGATCGTAGTTTCTCTGACTCTTCAATTTTTTAAAAGTATTTTAATAAATTGTGTCGAACTAAATCGTAATACGAATTAATTCGTATCGAATTAAATATCCAACAAATATAGAACAATTTTAGAGCGAGCCAAAAAAATGGATGTCAAAAACGTAAATAAATTTAGAACAGAATGGCAGATATTTTTGTCATCGAGAGACCAGAAGATCATACAATATATTGCTTACCTCAAATTAATTAATATTTTCTTCATCGAACAACGAAGTAATTCTTGAACTAACCACTTCTTCGAATAAAATAACAAAAATTAAACACAACATCGAGTATCTTTGTATTCATTCATAATAGCAAAACATTTTGACAGATGGCATCAAACCTGTGCACAGCAGGTACTATAGCTCTAAACTAGATCTAAAATATGATGCTAAAATACGACTCATTTCTCTATAGAACTATTCGATTGCCATCGAAGTAGTTGAAGAAACGAAACGAGAACTAGCTAACGATGGAAACGAAACGATTTCGCGCAGAGTCAACTCTGCATACATCATCGAGTCATCAATGCAGCGTGCTGTAACATGTTCTTGGATGTAGTTCAATTTCACGGAACAACGAACCGCGACCAACTAGATTTATATTGCATCGTGGCAAATTTTCTACACAAAAAGACATAGAAATGAAAATAAACTGCAATTCGATATCTGCATCTGCAGCTTTTTCGCGGCAGAAATCTTTTCCTGATTTCATTTGAAGCGTAAAAAAAGAAACCTGTTGGCATTTGTAAAAACATCGAAGAAATCGCAATGAGAATAAATTAGTTGGCAGATTTGGTTTACAAGGGAAACGGCAATCAACGGGTCGAGTCAATTAAGGAAAGCTTTTAAACCGCGAACAAGATTTCACGGTGAATTAGTTATCTCGGGTATTGCGTGAGCCAGTCACCAATAAATTGAGATAATTATTTTCATATAATTGGCACGGCGTGTATGGATCTTGGCGTTGGTCATTAAAGTGGAAACAAGTTGAACGAAATCCAACCGCTGTAGCAGATGCTCGCGGCATGTTGACAATCCGGTGTCACGTCATCATCAACAGGCCCGGTGTCCACGAGGTCTACTATAATCGATCTACGTCTTCGAGTCACGAGTTAAGCTCGATTCACAGTGGGTTAAGTATGAATAACTACACCAAACTATCTTGTTTCTTCATAAAATTATACATAGAGCGATAAAAATAATCGGCTCGTTCTATTATTTTCCTGATCTTTAGTGCATCACATTATTTCTGTCTATAATTAAATAAGCTACGTTGAGCAAACGAAAAGCGCTTTATCGTTTGTGTGAAATTTAATGAACAAATATTTTTCTTCGTTATTTGGCTAATTTATTTTTATTACTTTTGCTTATTTCCTTTTCACGTTTGTAACCATTAGATACTTCATTCTCAAATTTTGAAATACTTTATTGATGGAAAATGTAGTATCAAAATTTAAATATACTAAAATGTATATACTAACACATATGTGAGGTATAATATTTTTCACTGAATTTTAAAAATAACTTTTCCACTTTTCATTAAGCTTCGAAGAAAATTCTGAAGAAATTTAAAAGATTACCATTTACCAAAAATTCCACCGTAAATGGGTTTCTTGAAAAAGAAATAAACATACTAAATTTAGAAAGGAATTTTGCCAATTTTCATTACATTTAAGAAAGACATTTTTAAAGATCCCATTTACGAAAACTTCCACTGTGAACGTGCCGTCTTTTAAAACGAACAAACATGATAAATTTGAAAAGGAATTTCTCCAATTTTCATTACATTTAAAAACAAATTTTAAAGATTCCATTTACGAAAGAAATCTCACTGTGAACGTGTTGCTCTCGGAAAGTATCCGCGGCGACGAGCACGATGCGAAGGAAAAGAAGGAAAAAGGAAACGAAACAATCCATTTCCGTCGCGAGGGCGGAGAGAGAGCAGGGGACACGGCGAAACGCTCCGCGGGAGATGAAAGGGACCCTCGTCTAATTAATTTGTTCGACTGACTCACCCTCGGCTCTTCAGGTTCCTCCCTCCTGACGTTCTGGAAAAGGACGCTGCCGATCTGAACTTGAAGATTTTGCTGCAACAACTGCGCCAATTGCGGATTCTGCGACAGAATCGCTGGATTTTGTTGCAATAGTTGAGCAACTGCCGGATTCTGCACTAAGATCTGGCTGAGGGGTGTGTTAGCCATCGCGTGAAGCGATTGATGCTGCTGTTGCTGTTGTTGATTCGATTCTTGTTGCTGATGCTGCTGCTGTTGCTGTTGTAAGTTTGGTGAATTGGCATTCGAAGTCTGACAGGATTGAGACAGGTTGCTAGGGGGTGGATTGTGTCGCGGTGGGCTTTGGGGGGTGTGCGGAGGCGTTGGAGGACTTCCCGGCGCCATTGACGATGCATCCTTTTCCTCTTTCACTTTCACCTTCCCTGTAACAAAAATTTGCATCATTTGATTGGCATAAATTTCATAATACTATTAATTCGGATAGTGTCTTTAATTGTTCATTATTTATCATTATTGCTTCTTATGATTAAGATCAGTTGATGTCACTTTGAAAACTTCTTCGAGGATAAATATAAATTAAAATGTTTCACTCTTAAATCTTAATGTCACTTTGATAAGTATAAATATGAATCGATTAGTGCATTAACCCTGCTGCGGTCCACTTATTTTTATGTCCCAGTCTCATTCTGTTTTTTTAAATACATCGTTTCAGAAAAGATTCTCGCATAAAATTGAGAAGAAGTATGATGGACGACACTTTCCTCAAACTTGACAAACTTGTTAACGGTAGAAAAGCACGACAAATCGAAAATGATCCAAAAGAACGCAGTAAGGTTAACAGATTCTATAAGATCTGCCGTAGAGGTCCAAACGTTCTTCTTTCACCTATCGAATTGGCTCTTCGACCTGCTTTCAGTGACACCTCGAAGAGACTGACAGAGCGACCTGTATTTTCCAAGATTCTGGAAAGCAAGGTGGGGAACGGGCCTGTCGATTGGTCGAAAGCCGGAACATGGATCAACGAATAGAAACGCGACGACTTTGTGGAGGTAAAAAAGTGACTGAGGGGAAGTTTTTTGCCGGTTGAAGCTGAGAGTCGTGAAATTGAGACGTCTCGATAGTGAAAAAGCCGCAATCGACTGCGGGAAGCAGGTACATCTGCTGATTCCCTCAGTTACGAATTTTCATACCCCTCCAGATACTTTCAAATTGCATTTAAACGACAGTTATAGTACCTTTTAAAATATATCTTTTATTTAAATAGTTTTCTTCTGTGTTTCTGCTCTGTTTCATATTCCTAAAATTATTACAATTTTTCCAAACATCATTATTTCGTACTTTATTGGTGTAATTTCTTTTCCAAAGCGTTCTTTCGTTGTTTTCCATTGTTAGAATTCTAAACACTTTCATGTTGTACCATACAAAAATATCTATTCCTTCTTCTATTCTGCCATATCCTAATATGAAAGACTAACAGTATTGCAAAAATGTTGCTACTATTTTTCCTGTAGTTCACGCTTTTGAAAATCCATTTAATAATAATTCCATAATTCCTGTCAAAAATTATTCAATTTTTTGGAAAAATAATTGTTTACAAATTCCCAGTTATTAATAAGATAGTTGGCGATCGAAATCCTGGGCAAAGACAGCTGAATGACTGCTCGTTCTTTCCCAAAGAGAAGACAAACGAAGACAGCGCATCCCAAGGAGGGTTTAAATCGATGGAAGGAGTTAGGGCAGCGTTTAATACGCCCGGGTGAGAAGTCTGCGATTCAGGTAGATCCAACAGGGTTTATTCGCACCGAGGAGGATCCATGAGAACATCAAACTAAGACTAGGAAATTTTTACCTGCAGCTTTCGACCTGGCCAGTCGATCTCGTGGCCGCGAAACGAGGAAGAAAGTGAACCAGGTGAACCAAAAGAAAAAAAGGAGATTGGAAAACTCTGAAAAGGGCTTTAAAATTCCGTGAGACCCCCTTCTGCTCGAATCGATGACGTCTATCGAAATTACGCAACCCCTTAAGCTTCATCTCTACCATCCCTTATTTCGTTTCTTTTATATCGCTTCTAGGATTTTCCTTCTCTACGATTTTTACCACGGGACGATCCTAGAGTCGTTTAACGAGACGGATATGCGGTTCCGTCGTCGACATCGATGAAAAATGACTATTCTCCGAGATAATTTAGGAGACTGGCGCGGACGTGTGGGAAAATACTTCGGAATTATTTTTAGGGTCCCGGCGGATTGACTGGCTTTTTTAATTGAATGAAATGGTATTTTAGTATTCCTTTTTTTAAAAATCAAAGGTGAAAGGTAAAAAAAAAAAATAACTTTTCATTGGCTTTACATTTGTGAAAAAGTTAACATGGTATTTAACCTTCAATCATAGACAATTCCGGATTGAATTTTTATTTTATTTCCATGTTCAAACGAAGAATTTTAATATATATATATTCTGAAAGAATGATTTTTTTTTTCATTGCCATAATCAAATGGAGAATCTTAAGAGTGTCAATATTGATTCAATATGTACCTTGAATTTTAGAAAATTTATAAATATAAATGATATATTGATACTAAATGCAAATTGGTATTTCTAAATTCACTAAATATCATAACAAGTATTATGCTTTGAATATTTTATATAATTTTTGGTACTGTGCGAATCCTGTGCATATTTCACATTCTTGAATTTTTCATGAATGCATATTTTTTATAATATAAATACTGAAATATATGACAAAGGAACATCTGTAGCTAAGAATCGTGGAACTTTTAAAAATTAAACAGACAAAGCTTCTTATTGCTTTCTTACTTATTGATATCTGAACCTTAAAAAAATATACAAGGTGTATCTTGCGGTTGTAGGCGATAAAAAAGGAGCGACTTGGAATGATTTCGTACACGTTTCAACGGTAAATGGATTTCTACGAGGGGATACTCCTGAAGAATCGCATGCACGCTCGCGTTATGCTTGTATCCCGAGCCGGATCCTTAAATTGACTCGATTTTTAAGGTCCAACCCGAAGAGGAGGTTGCGCCGCGGGGATCCTGTGTTTCTTTTCCTTTCGCGACGTTCTCCCTTTCATCTTTGCTCCACATATCGTCTTGGCCAGCCGATTGATAAAAATCAAGCGTAAGAAAAAAAAAGAAAGAATGCCCGAGAAAAATGGCAAAGGGGGTTGAGGGTGGCGGTGAAATCGAAACGTCCAAGAAAATAATTGACGCAGTTAACGACTTAAGAAGAAGATTTATAAATCGAAACATTATATATACACTTGGAAGAAACATGATTGCACGTCGACCCATTATTTGAAATTTTGATTACATCTTAAAGATTTATAGATGTTGATGATTTTCAAGACGGTAAATGTATACTTACGACTCAAAAGTATCTGGACACTTGTCCGTAATATAAGGTAGAAGTTGGAAATAAGAACGATGTACTGATAAATGATTACATTTACAATGAATCGCTGTTTTCTGATAAAATAATACATCGATCAAAGATTTCATTATTACACTATATATTACTACTGATAGATATCGTTGAAGGATATTAATTATTTAATTCAACAGTTCAAACGAATCGATTCAACGAATACTTCCACTATTGACTGTAGGTATTTTTATTAAGTATACGACACTGCTTGTAAAAGTATTAATTTCATGCTAGCAGAATGTAATTTCTCGAATCAAATAACAATGCGAAACAAACGCGGAACGAAGAACCATGACGATGACATCTGACCCGCTTACCCTTGCACGAACATTCCAAAGAAAAAAAAAGAGAAAAAACACGAAAAATCTTCCGGATCGTGTGCACCCATTTTTACGAGATACTTAAGCCTTTAAACGAAAGCTGGCTCCTCTCCGATTTCCGAATTCGCCGGAGAGAAATCGGTTAACCCCCGATCGACGTCTGGGGTCGCGCGATTTTTCTCAGGGGTTAAATCGACCGTGGCCCCCAAAAACTCGCGTTTTTTCCCCCTTCATCCACTCCACGAGTTCG